GTCAGTGTGTGTGTGTGTATATGTCTGTCAGTGTGTGTGTATATCTATGTCTGTCAGTGTGTGTGTATATCTATGTCTGTCAGTGTGTGTGTATATCTATGTCTGTCAGTGTGTGTATCTATGTCTGTCAGTGTGTGTGTGTATGTAAATGTCTCTGTCTGTGTGTATCTAAATGTCTGTCAGTGTGTGTGTGTCTGTCTTTGTGTGTTTGTGTATGTCTATCATTGTGTATGTGTGTATCTGTATGTCTGTCAGCGTGTTTGTATGTCAGTGTGTGTTTATCTGTATGTCTGTCAGTGTTTGTGTGTATCTGTATATGTGTGTCTGTCTATCTGAATGTGTATCAGTTTGTGTATATGTATATCTGCATGTGTGTCAGTGTGTGTATCTTTGTGTATGTGTATCACAGTGTGTGCGTGTGTGGCAGTGTATGTGTATATGTGCATATATCTCGGCATTCAAACACCAACACTACACACAAATAAACACCTGCATGCAAACGTCAACACTACATACAAACACACCACTGCATTCAAATGTCAACACTACAAACAAACACACCTCTGTATCAGACACCAAAATTATATATAAACACACACCTGCGTTCAAAAACCAACACTACACATAAATGCATGCTTGCATTCAAATGCAAACACTACATACAAACACACCGCTACAATCATACAAACATACTCCATACAAACACATGCTTACAGTCAAACACACAAATACTGCTCCATGCTAAATACAATCCTGCAAGCATGGGGAATCGGTAGAGCCCCAGCTTTCAAAGCATCGTTGAAGTTGCACGACAGATGGGGATCTATCTTTTAGCCATCCTGTGTACATACACAGACCGTCATACAGAGACACATAGTATGTATGTCTCTGTATGAACCGTCATACAGAGACATACAGTATGTATGTCTCTGTATGACTGTGTGAATATATTCAAAAGGAATAAACGCAGGCAACACTCCAATAGTAAGGATGGTATATTTATTGATAGGTGAACCACCCCAAAGAAAGTGCGTCGTTTCGGCTCAGCAGAGCCTTATTGCATGAGCTGAAACATCACACTTTCTATGGGGTGGTTCACCTACCAATAAATATACCATCCTTACTATTGGAGTGTTGCCTGCGTTTATTCCTTTTGAAGACTTTACTGGTGGATCCAGCAATGTCTGCCTGACATGGAGCATCCACCTCTGTTGATGGCCGGAGCATTTACACGGTATCAGTGTGCAGGGTTCTTTATCTGTATAAACGTAGTATGTATGTCTCTGTATGCCTATGTTTCTTTATGTCTGTGTCTGTATTTCTGTGTGTGTCTGTATGAATGTATGTCTGTGTTTGTATGACAATGTACCTGTATGTGTAGATTGTATGACTGTGTTTGTTTGTGTGCCTTTTATGACTGTGTGTCTGTATATCTTTTTGACTGTGTGCCTGAAAAATTATGTCTGTGTGCTTGTATGTTTGTGTATTTGTGCATGTATGTATTTTTGCCTGTATCTATGTCTATGTGGGAGAAAAAGAGAGATAGATAGGGGCTGGCAGGGAAGTAAGAAGGTGTTGTAGGAGACACACTAAAGGTGGGTGTAAGGCACAAAGGGGCCAAAGGGATAAGACATTCAAGAGAGTGGATATGCAACACTAATGGGGGTAAGAAATTCAAAAGGGGGCTACGAGACACAGAGGTGAAGATGCATTGTTTATTTTTTTTGGGGGGGGGTGGGGCGTCAAAATGCATCTTCGCCTGTGTAGTCAAAAATCCTAGCACCGGCCCTGTGTACAATGGCATGAGCACTTCCCTCTTTCTACTGCTAATACCTCTCCCTATACAACCAAGCATTCTGCTAGCATTTCCTGCTGCTCTATTACATTGTCTGCCTACCTTTAAGTCATCAGAAATAATCACCCCTAATTCCCTTTCCTCATATGTTGAGGTTACATAGTTACATAGTTACATAGCTGAAAAGAGACTTGCGTCCATCAAGTTCAGCCTTCCTCACATTTGTTTTTTGCTGTTGATCCAAAAGAAGGCAAAAAAACCCAGTTTGAAGCACAATTTTGCAACAAGCTAGGAAAAAAATTCCTTCTTGACCCCAGAATGGCAGTCAGATTTATCCTTGGATCAAGCAGTTATTACCCTACATTGAAAGATTATATCCTTGAATATTCTGTTCTTGCAAGTATGCATCTAGTAGCCGTTTGAACATCTGTATGGACTCTGATAAAACCACTTCCTCAGGCAGAGAATTCCACATCCTGATTGTTCTTACAGTAAAAAAACCTTTCCTTTGCCTTAGGTTAGAACTCTATCAAATATTCTGTACTCTGCCCTTGGGTTTTTACGTCCAAGATGCATTATCTTGCACTTATCCACATTGTCAGTTGCCACAATTCTGACCATTTTTCTAGTTTACCTAAATCATTTGTCATTTGGCTTATCCCTCCTGGAACATCAACCCTGTTACAAATCTTAGTATCATCAGCAAAAAAACATACCTTACCATCAAGACCTTCTGCAATATCACTAATAAAAATATTAAAGAGAATGGGTCCAAGTACAGATCCCTGAGGTACCCCACTGGTGACAAGTCCAAGCTTGAATATATTCCATTAACTACAACCCTCTGTTGCCTGTCACTCAGCCACTGCCTTACCCATTCAACAATATTGGAATCCAAACTTAAAGATTGCAGTTTATTGATAAGCCTTCTATGTGCAACAGTGTCAAAAGCCTTACTGAAATCTAGGTAAGCAATGTCTACTGCACCACCCTGATCTATAATTTTAGTTACCCAATCAAAAAAATCAATAAGATTAGTTTGGCATGATCTCCCTGAAGTAAACCCATGTTGTCTCTGATCTTGAAATCCATGTGTTTTAGATGTTCATCAATCCTATCCTTTAACATGGTTTCCATCACTTTCCCCACTACTGAAGTAAGGCTTACTGGCCTATAGTTGCCCGACTCCTCCCTATTACCTTTCTTGAAAATGGGCACAACATTCGCTAACTTCCAATCTTCTGGGACTACTCCTGTTAACAATGATTGATTAAATAAATCTGTTAATGGTTTTGCTAGTACACCACTAAGCTCTTTTAATAGCTTTGGGTGTATTCCATCAGGTCCCATTGACTTATTTGTCTTTACTTTTGACGGTTGAAATAGAACCTCTTCCTCTGTAAACTCACGTGTAATAAATGACTCATTTATCCTTTTTCTCAACTGAGGTCCCTTTCCTTCATTTTCTTCTGTAAATACAGAACAAAATATTCATTGAGGCAGTCAGCCTGACCTTTATCCTCTTCTACATACCTTCCTTCTTTTGTTTTTAATCTAACTAATCCTTGTTTTACTTTTCTTTTCTCATTTATGTATCTAAAAAATGTTTTATCCCCCTTTTTTACTGACTGTGCTATTTTCTCTTCTGTGTGTGATTTGTAAGCTCTTATAACTTGCTTAGCCTCTTTCTGTCTAATCTTATAGATCATTTTGTCTTCCTCACTCTGGGTTTTTTTATAATTCCTAGTGCATATTTGCCTCCTTAACGACCATTTTTTGTCGGACGTACCTAGTACGTCCGTGGCTGTTAAGGGGTTAAAGTTTTTTTTAAATACCACCACTAGGAATATTTGTTTCCTCACAGAATTCTGTTTACAGGGTCACTGTAGGCACTTTTACAGCTTCAATATAATGAAGTTGTCATAGTGCCTGCAGTCCTGCCTCCCTCACCTAACCCCCTAAAACACTATAATAAACTAATTAGAGAGCTTAGAAGCTCTGGGTATGTGAACTGGGAATATTACTTCCTGACTCTCATACTGTAACATCAATGATTGCACAATCTTAAGCACATCGAGGCGAATGCTGCACATGTGCCTGTGGTGCCCAATACTCCTCTATGAGAATTGGATTGGACCGCCATCCTGGAGGCGTGACATCACTCGTGGAGGACGTTGCAGCAGCACCAAGTAATACTGCACTGAAGAAAAGGTAATTTTTTTATTATTTAGTTTTTATATTTACATATTGGGAGGGACCTAAATCACATGGGGCATCAGGGCTGTAGCGTTCTGAATACAGTTATGTATTCCTAAAGCTACAGTGCATGTAAGAACTTGTTATACATTATTAGGCTGGTTTTTGAGAAAATTAATTTCATTTTGAAGTAACTAAATCTACTACACATTGTTTAATGCTTTCCTGAGGTGTTTTTTGTGACGGTGGATATCCTCATGCATATGAGCTGATAGTCCAGCTATGCATCCATTTTGGCTTCAAATTTTAAATTCAGTTTGAATTTCCAACAATTCTCATTTTAAATAACCCTATTTGACTAAATTACCAAAGCTGTACCCATAAGTGTGTTGGACAGTTATATGCCAGATTGGATATTTTGACCAAGATTTTGTGTACAATTTAACCTCCTTCTCGGTTTAGGGAATACATCCCAGTAAAACTTTTCTTAAAGGACCACTATAGTGCCCTGAGGGTGCCCCCACCCTCAGGGTCCCCCTCCCGCCTGGCTTTGGAAGGGGGAAAGGGGAAAAAACTTACCTTTTTCCAGCACTGGGCGGGGAGCTCTCCTCCTCCGATCCTCCTCCCATGCGGCTGAATGCGCACGTGCGACAAGAGCTGCGCGCGCATTCAGCCGGTCACATAGGAAAGCATTATCAATGCTTTCCTATGGACGCTTGCGTGCTCTCACTGTGATTTTCACAGTGAGAAGCACGCAAGCGCCTCTAGCGGCTGCCAATGAGATAGCCACTAGAGGAATTGGGGGAAGGCTTAACCGATTCATAAACATAGCATTTTCTCTGAAACTGCTATGTTTATAAAAGAATGGGTTAAGCCTTGCTGGACCTGGCACCCAGACCACTTCATTAAGCTGAAGTGGTCTGGGTGCCTATAGTGGTCCTTTAAGTTACCTTGTGGAAAGAAAATGCTTGATCTCAATATACAATTTAAAAAAACAGAATTAAATGTAGCTGCCATCCAATTTTATTTACACATTTCACGCAAACACAGAAAAATAAAATAAAACAGCTGTTGAATGACATAAAAAATATTGTCTGCAAATGAATTTTAAAAAATGTAATCACTTGTAAAACGGTAAACTCTATTGGTCCACCCAACCCTTAAGCAGTAAATCTGTTTTTTTTTCTCTATAGTTTATATATCATTTTATATATATATATTGATTTTGTCTCTCTCTGCATGCTAAGAAAATATGTAACTCTGTTCTATGGCTTGAAGGCAGATTGGAGCTCTTTGAATGCAGCTTTCCTCTGTTCTTTCTCCTCCGCTTGCCTCTTCTTCTCTTCTTGTTCTGCTTTGATCTCCTGTTCAAACCGGCTGCCATGATTGATTGCGTGTACCTGAATGTTTAAAGGAAACACTTGTGAAAACAGAGTATGTTTGTCAGAAGGAGATATTTCAGACAGACTCCAGTGAAAACAGTGTTTGCCCTACCCATGCATTTATTTACACAAAATTGTCTTAAAGGAAAACTACACCCACCATAAGTTTAATGTAGTGGTTATGGTCACACTCCCACACCCCCCTCTTAAGCTATGCTTAACAGCCTTTTTTGTATAATGAGGCATTTTATTAAACATGTCACTGTGGTTATGGTGCTTGAGGGAGAAGGTAACAAAAAAAAAAATATATATGCAATACATTATCAACAAAGCATGTATTCAATGAACGAATTATAAATCAGATTCTGTACCAACAAAAGCCAGGATATGCTTTCACTTTAAGGAGCCATTCTAAAAATACAGAGTAGATATGATTTAATTAGATGCACCACATTCCTTGTGACTCTGGTATTTAAAGGGACCTCCCCAATTATGAATATATTGTACAGGTATGAAAAGGGGAAAAGGCTTTCTATTGTGACTCCTGTCCAGATAAGTAATACATTATAAAAATCAAGCTCTCTCTTTATTTTCCATGGTAGTAATGAGTATCGACTTATTCAGAAATGTGCAGCAGGTGTTATGGGATATGTAGTTCGTTCAGCATTTGGCAGCAGTTCTATTGATCAGAAATCTGAATAAAAGTGCTATCCAAACATTTCCATGCTAGGTTTCCTGCATGAAACTATAAAAGCAAAGGTCAATGTACTCTGTGGTGGCACCCTCACAGGATTAAAGGGACACTATAGACCACTTCAGCTAATTGAAGCAGTGTTCCTTTTACACTTAGTGCTGCAATGTTAAACATTACAGTTCCAGAGAAATTGCAATGTTTACATTGCAGCTCTAAGTCTGCCTCCAGTGGACAGCCACTAGAGGGCTTCCTGGTTCGAAACGGACCTTTGCTCCGGTATCTGACGCTGGATGCCCTCACGCTCTGCATGAGGACCTCCAGCGTCATATTATTATTTCCCCATAGGAAAGCACTGATTCAATGCTTTCTTATGGGGAGGTCTAATGCGTGCGTGGTACCTGTGTGGGTGAGGGAGTGATAGTGCTAGAAATACAGTATTCCTGGCAATATAGTATCCCTTTAAGTGAGAAGTTTAGAGATTATATATCCCTTTAAAACTACAACAGTTTTTTTTTTAATTATTATAAGTCAAAAAAGAGAAATGTTTATTGCACCTTAACCTATAGTAAGCTGCTGATGTCTCTTTAAACAAGTTGAGACAATCATCATTTTGTTTCTTTCAACCCCAACTTTTCAATTTTTCTAATATCTATTATTTCTTATGCTATTACTTATCTACATCTGTTTACCTGTCCTTTTGCCCAAAGACTGTCAGCTTACAGACAGGGCTGTCATAACATACCGTACTACTTTGTTCCCAGCGCTAAACTTTATTAGAAGTAAATATTAAAACCTTGTGCCGAGTCTGAAGTAAGGATCGACAGACATTTTTACAGAGCCAATGCTGATACAGATTATAGGCCGATTGTTAATAACCATTGTCAATATTCTGTACATTTAAAGTTTTGAAAAAGCAACAGAATTTCTACAAAACTCTGGCATTATCTAAACATGTTGATATCAATCAGACTACTACTCTCAGGCAGCCAGTACATGCTGGGATCACTGTGCTGTTACTGACTGGAGTGTGATTGCTGACAGAAATCACTCTCAATCAGCCAGCCCACTACATTACAGTAGGTTATTCAGTCTCACCTGCCTTTAGCTGAGCGCTGCATATGGGGCTCACAGAAAGGGATGACGTGAGGTCATGACACGGTGCCTCATTTGGCTGGCAGCTGTAATTTCCAGATGCGGAAAACTGAGTGTGGTGACTGGCAGAGTTGAGTAAGTTATCAAAACCAATAATCGGTCTAGCCCTAGCTTGAGGATTATATGCCATGTTATCCTTTGCTTTTGTGTGATGTATGAAGTAACTTATTGCAAATTTCATTTAAGGGGGCGGGGCCGGGCTCTGAGTTGACCGGCGGCCATCTTCGCTGGGTCGTGCGTCGTGTCCTCCCTCCCTATTAATGGAACAGCTGCAAAAGTTCATGATTACATGGAAATGCTGGTACGAAAAGGAAAATTCACCTCCATAGAGAAGCTTTCTTATGCTGCTCCGATGACCTTAACAGCTGCTCTCCTGTGGAGGGATTCCCCGGGCGGCCTTCCCTCTGGAGAAGTAACTGTCACTGCCTTTTGGTTTGAGGGGGGCCCAGAGAAGATTGTCCCCGGCGCAGTGAGTCCTGTGGGATAGGAATACATAGACCTTTCCGGTGTGCAGGTGGCCGTGAGGGAAGTGCCCCAGTCCCCCGTGCCGGGTGAAGTCCAAGAGCTTCACAGAAGCTTAAGTGGTGGGGGGGGGGGTGTGAGAGACTGTCAGTGGATGGACTCTTGGATGGGGGTGGGGGGGTGGTTCCGGTAGACTGATTTGGACTTTGAGTGATAAAGATACACTGTGCCTTCAGGATTGGTTGTAGTCTTCCTCCATGCCAGTATATACCAATATTGTCTCTGACTCCTAGGCCATATTAGACTACCCAATTGGGCAGACTAGATGGGCCGAATGGTTCTTATCTGCCGTCACATTTTATGTTTCTATGACTTACAAGAGCAATGCACCATCGTGTGTGAGGCCGTATCTACATAACCAAACCCTGATCTCAAATGCCGATTTAAATTTGACACAAACAGTGTATGTTCCAAGTAGCCTAACGCCTAATCATGCAGCTAATGGACTCTCAAGAGAGCAGCAGATTTTCTTTTTCTAGTAAGGCTTTCCTTACTATACTAAGATATACTAAACACTGATATGCTTTCATGCTAAGCTTCAGTCTCCGTTTTCATTTTGAATTTTATTAGTTTTTGATCCTCAAAATAATCGCCAAAATAGAACTCTATCACACGTGCTGCTGTCACTGCATTGCATGCATACTAGATAGTGTTGTTACAAATTGTTCACTATTGCCTATGTAAGCATTGTTCAGCAATTTATTATGTTTAACTACTTTAACCTGCAATCCCCTGCGTAGGCGACCATGTGCCTCTCCTATCAGTTGGCAAGGTTTGTTTTTACTCTGCTTTTATAAAAAACAAACAAACAAAAAACAAAACAGCAACTGTAGACCTACAAGGTTATTCACCAAAGTGAGAATTGAAAGTGAATTTAAAGTCAAACTGTATTCTCACTTAAGTAAATAACCCTGTAAATCATTCTTGTTCCAGTCCCATGGTGTCACAATGCAGAAAAGCTCCTGAGTTGGGGCATTTAGCAGCTCAGAGTAGGCTTGCCTCCGAGTCTTGGCCAGGATATTGCCTGGATAATATTAAAACATTGGCTCGGAAACATTGTTGTAGTACTGGAGTAAGGTTGGGAAATAACCTTGTCCACCAAAGTAGTGTAGTTATTAGGGCAACATATACCCCGGGATAATTTTACGGTTGTAATTCAGAGCCCCAAATGTTGACGTGATCATGAAGAGGGGGTATGAATTGATTTTAGATAATACCCACTCTGAATGATGTTTTGCACAGATCCTTTGGCTGTGGGCTTAAGAACAAAGGACCTCCTGGCACAATAACAACTTCTTTGCTATGAAGGTGAAATGGTGCCTGGAGTGTTCCTTAACCCCTTAAGGACACATGACATGTGTGCCATGTCATGCTTCCCTTTTATCCCAGAAGATTGGTCCTTAAGGGGTTAAAGGAACAGTGTAGTGTCAGGAATACAGACATGTTCTAATAGCACGCTTTATGATTACATCTCCCCACATTCCCTATTAAAAAGATGTTTTACTCACCTTTTTTCCCCCACTGCTGCATGGGTCTAGTTGCAGCTGGCCCCACTTCTTCTTGGCTGAGATCATCAAAACTTCCCAAAGGACTATTGAGCATGTGCACCAAAACGCGGCACTGCACCAGTCAGCATCTTCTCATAGAGATGCACTGAATCAATGCATATCTACGAGGAATGTTTAGCAGAGTGTGCGACACTGACACACTCGAACATAATCCTGTCCAGAAGGCTGTTTGAAACAGATTTGTTCAAAAACCAAATCAAAATTTTCCATAAGAATTAATGTAAATTAAATTAATCCGTTCCAGACTTACAAAATTTTACTGTTTAATAATACCTTGCAAGCATAAAATACAGAAAACCAAAAAACAAAATGTAAATGAAGTGAAAATGTAACTTCACTTTACCCATCGACTCTATTTGCTGACAGATTGGAGCTCTGTTCGCTTTGTCTAGTGCTAGGAGGCCAATGCGTCTTACCAACAAGGTTCTAATGCGGTTACTGCCGTGTGGTTTTGTTCGGGTACCGAGACATTTGTTTCTCAAATATTTTGTTTCGATACCGTATTGTTCGTGTAAGGAAGCGTTAACCGAGGGTCCACTGTAATTTTCAGTGACTTATTTATGTTCAGACACTCTCCTTTCTGGGCTTTTTGTTGATACTTGAATACAATGCTGCAATCCCACCCAGCTAACTTGTTTGCAATTTAGCAACTGCATCGTGTTTTACACTCCATTTACATCTAATACTCCCGTATTAGATTATCTTTACCTTTTAATCCCTCTTTCACTTATCTTGGTTTATTTAGTTTTATTTTAGTTTTACCCTGTGTATAATAAAAGATATGTTTTATTACTACCTTTACCTCTTACTTAAAGGACCACTATAGACACCCAGACCACTTCAGCTTAATGAAGTGGTCTGGGTGCCAGGTCCATCAGAGAAACTGCTATGTGAAAATCACAGTGAGAAGACGCCAGCGTCCGTAGGAAAGCATTGAAAATTGTTGCGCATGCGCATTCAGCCGGTGACGGAAGAAGAGGGAGGAGAGCCACTGCCCGGTGCAGGAGAAAGAGGTTAGTTTAACCCCTCCCCCAGAGTCCGGCGGGAGTGGGACCCTATGGGTGGGGGCACCCTCAGGGCACTATAGTGCCAGGAAAACGAGTATGTTTTCCTGGCACTAGAGTGGTCCTTTAAGGGCAGATCATTCTCCTCTTGATCTAATATGTTCTGGTAACTAATGTCCCTTATAAGGCATATTATAGCAGATGCTCTCCTTTAACTTAACTACTAACCCCTCATATAAACAGCTATTCACTGCCTTTCTCTACACTACTTGGCACAATCCAAAAAAAAAAAAAGTTTCCAAAACCTTCCAGCAAAAGTAACTTACTTTTGATCTGTTCGCCTCTTGATTTGAGAATTTCATATGTGTCTGGGTTGAGGCTGCCCCCATTTTAGAATGGTTTGACCTTTTACATGGAGGCCACCGAGCTGGAAGTTTCTGCTCAGTTAGCTCTCCTGAGCTAAGCCCTGCTGTGAAGTGCTTAGCTCAGTGAAGAGAGCTTCTAACTCTCACTGGGCTGTTCTGGAGCAGTGATCCACAGGTAAGAAGTCAAACTGTTCTAAAATGGTTTGTCTATTTCCCATGGGGGAGGTGGGGACTCCAGGCACCATCACCATTACAGCAAAATTCTTCCTTGTGGAGACCAAGCACTACAGAGGTATGTGCACAGCAATAGCCATCATGTTCAGACATCCTTAGGGGTTGGGGGAAAAAGGAATTGCAGACTCACCTGGAACATGCATTTTACAGTAATGGTGCTACCATAGAGACCAAAAGTTATACATTAATACAGATTAAGGAACAGCGCACACATAAAAATACATTTTTACATTTGATAAGGCTACTTAAAATCACCTTTCACAGCAAAGAAATATGGGATCCACTTTCACCATATGGCCATATTGTGTTAAGCCACCACTACTCCCCAGTACCCCAATATCAGTGGGTCTTAAACTAATTTCAACCTGAATCCAAATATTCTTTTGCCGAGAGAGGTGATATTAAGAAGCCTTATAATTTTTTTAAACTGTATATGTGCAATGTTCCTTAATCTTTCAAGCATTATTTGTTTTGTATATAATATCGTCTCCCCCCCCCACCTGCCCCCCGTATCCCCGCAACAAGGTCTGCTATTGAATTAGCATTACAAGCCCTGTAGTGTTACTAGATATTTACACTCCGGCACCCGGACATGGTAATGGTGACATTAAATATTTACATTATGGAATAGGCCTGCTAATGTTACCATTTTATAAAGTCCAAATCACCTCATACCAAACAGGCACAACCAGCCAGCCGTGTATACCTGGATTTTGCAACGTGGGTACAAATTTCAGCCGCATGACTCAAATCTGGGCCAGGATTTTTAAAAAACCTAGCAGCCAGTGAGTAAATAGTTAAAAATCCAGGTGCTGCATCGGTCAATTATGTAAAAATAATTAAATAACTAACTGGAGTCTATAAGACCCCAAATATTACTATCAGGGAGGTTTTAAACCTTCCATGCCCCTACCTGACACATATCTACTACATTTTTAAAACTAGCGACTAGCCATTGCTGCCCAGTCACTAAAAAGCCCCCATCACATGGCAAAGAGGCCAGTAAAATGACGACTGTGTGGGTTCCTTCAAATAAAAAAAAACAAAAAAAACACCAATGGGGTGGAGGGTGACATGACATATTAAATCAAGGGGAGATCCTTACATTCCCTCCATGGAATTCAAGTGATGGCGACCAACAGTCCAACCCTCCAGCCCCAACCTATGGGTAAAGAGTGGGGGCTTTAATTATAATATAGAATAGGGGGTTGTGCACATTTCAATGTCCACCTCCTGTTGGCTAGTGCTAAGCCCTAGCCACACATCCTTATAATAAAGTTATAAGGATATTTGCCCACCCCTCAACCTAATAATATTGAGGTAGAGCCATTAAAAAAAAAAAAAAAAAAACAATTACACTTAGGCTGATCCAAGTAGGAATCTGATTTCCATAATGGAGTCCAGAAGGAATTTTTAAATTTGTGTCATAGTTGGTAATGGCTTTCTTTTGGATCAACAGCATGAAAAAATGGGCTTCAGGGTTGAATTTGATGGACTTTATTACAGAATTGCTTGGTTGAAAAACAACAACAAAAAAAAAAAAACTACACTATGTAATCTAAAGTATTTTTTTTTCTGTCAGCTGTAAAAAGGGCCATATAACAAGCTACAATACTGCAATGCAGCTACTGAACAATTCACAAAAAATGTATGAAAAAAAAAAAAGCTATGAAAATCGTAACACAAGATAGGTAAATTCATCTTTGACCACGCAAGAGCTTCACACAGAATGAGGCTTCTATCCCACACTTTGAATTCTCATTACAGTCAGGGCCGGCGCCACCTATAGGCGAAGTAGGCGTCGGCCTATGGTGCACATTTGGACTGTGGCCGCCAAACTGCGCTGCTGTGCGCAGCGTTTGTACATGTGCCGTAGCGCTGGCAAGCCGCACACGGCACTAAGAAGAGGGGAGCGCAGGCGCTGCTCTGAAAAGATCATTTATGCAAGCGCCAGAAATCTAATTGCAGCCCAGTAGGAGAGAGATCAGGAGTATTGGCTGGATGAACAACAAGGTACTGTACTTATTTATTTTATTAACAAACATGCCCCTTGTAAATACAGGCTAGGGGACAGCATCAACTTTATTTAGAGGTTTGGGGGGCTGCATAAACTTAGGTAGGGCCTAACCTCAAAATAAAATTGATGCGGTCTCCATAATCTCATAATAAAATATATGATGTCCCCAATCAGGGCTGCCATCAGGGAGTGACAACAGGGGGCCCAGCCAGCGCAATCTCTTTCCAGCTGCTCATCAATCCAAACAACCCGAGTCCCCAGCCGTTAGAGCATTGCCACAGGTTAATATGGCAACGCTCTGCACGGCACGCAGGTCATCCTCGCAAGAGCTGCAGTAAGAAGTAGCTTGAAAGACAAGATGGTACTGACTGGGCCCCTTCTCACCATATATTATGTTGCACCGCTTCCTCTTATCTCATCCTGACTCATAACCAAGTACTTCCTTGCACTATACACACTGCCACTTCTCACTTCACTCTACCACCTTGCACTATGTACACTGCCACTACACACCATTACTTTACACTGTATACACTGCCACCTTACATCATACATACTCTTACGTTGCACTATACACACTGCCACTTAACACTCTGCATTCACTACACACGCACACACACTACATCCACTACACAAACATCTGTATTCACCATATAAACACACACTCTACATTTATTACACACACTCTCTACAGGAGGGGGCAAAGTCAAGGCAAAATGAGGCTATGCCTAGGTTGGCAAAAAATCCTTCACCAGCCCTAATTACAGTGCTCAGGTTGGTTGGATTGTAAGTAGGCCCCACCTGCTGGTCACAGGTAGGACCGGGTTGACAGTGATCTTGCTGGATGGATGTAATGATGCAGAGCCTGACTGGTTTAAGGAGCACAAGGATAATCGTGTCAAAATGAAAGCCTGCACATATACTGTCCCTAGCGAAATCACCAATTGATGGAACTGATCTTTTACCTTCGCCTCAAAGAAATTTTTGGCTCCTTTGACTCCTTCTGTGGATACATCGATCTCAGAGAGCCTTGCTAGGGCATGCAAGCCACTATCTTCCTCCAACTCTCCGGCAGCTGCTTTGCGGAAGATTAAAAGAAACTAAGAAAAAGAAGAGAAAAAAAAATAAGAATAAAAAGGGATCATGCGTCATTTGAACTTTTAAACAAATATATAAACCAAAATAAAGCAAGAAAAACCTTTGAAAAAGTATGCAATGTTTGTTCAAACTTACTAAAAACAACCTGCATTATTGGGCATGCCTCTCAGTTAGGGGAGTCTCTTCAGCCCCACCTTTCCTTCTTGCCCACCCATCTCCGTTTCAGACCAGTCTACTAATGACAGAAACAGGGCATTATTGTGCATCAGCAGGAGAGAGAAAGCCAACTCTGCATGATCAGACTAATCAGACTCCATCTCTTCTCCCCATGTTAGGATGTTGCAAGGTGAAGAGGTCTTGCACTGCGCGTATTTGGCCGGGTTCATGAATCCTCATTAATCCCTAGATTTTGCAATCTGTGCAGACCCCTTTTGCCTCTTACTCTGCTCTGGAGCTTTACCGGTGAGTCAGTGTCGCCATAATAACCCGTAGCAATGCTCTAATTCAGGGGTTCGCAACTCATGGTGCAATTAAGTTCTCCCCGGGTTATGTGAATTCCTTTTTTTTTTTTTTTTTAGTAATTGCGGTTTTGCCATCAGTGCAACTGCCCCACACAGGCTACGAACTGCAGGGCTCTAAAAGTATAGACCACCCGATAAGCGTTGATGGGCCCGGTCGTGCACTGCAGCGCATTAACAGTGCGACTGGGCCCCTACTAATCTGCTGGGAGGAAGTGAGAGCCGGTCACTTCCTCCCATGTTAGTCAGCCAGCTGGGGAGTGGGGGCGGCCCTGGAGGGGGGCAAGCCGCTTACTCTCAACATTCACAGCCAGCAGAAGTCGCCCTTCTGCACCTAAAAGGTAAGGAAACTGGAAGGTGTCTAAAATGTTGGCCTGTATGCATGTGTATGTAGTGTTTGTATCTGTATGTGTATCTACATGTTATGTGTATGTGTGTCAGTGTTTGTATCTATATCTACATGTATGTCAGTTTGTGTATCTGCAGCTCTGTGTCCATACATATGTATGTGAGTCATGTTTGTATCTGCATGTGTGTCAGTGTTTGCTTCTGTGACATGTTTGTATTGGTCTGTCTTCGTTTGATTTTGTGTCTGTCTGTATATGCATGTATGTCAGTGTGTATATCAGTGTCTGTGCAACTGCATGTGTGGTAGTGTTTGTATCCATGTCATTGTTTGTTTCTGTGTCAGTGTGTGTATCTGCATATGTGTTTGTATCTGTCTGTTCGTCTGTGTATCTGCATGTGGGTCAGTGAAAAAAAAAAAAGCTAAGTCAAATGTTAAACAAGACAGGTATGTTCATCTTTGACCCCGCAAGAGCTTCACACAGAATGATTATTACACACACAAAATGGGGAGATGGGGCAAAGGAAAAATTAAGTATAAATTTGAAATAACAGCAACTATATAAATTACAAGCATTTCGCTAATAAGAGGGGTACAATTTATGGTAACGTGCAGGCAAGTGGTACACAAGTGGGAAAAAAAGGCTCTTAATTTACTGAGAAGAGCTGGATTGTGACGGACAGTTCCCTACGGTGTCATTGGATGTGCACACCACAAAATCACTTTTCTTTTACTATTGAAATTACAGATAGGTCATCAGACAAGTTCCAGGGATACAGTTTACGTCCATAACACAACAGACCGAAAATGAAGAGCCTGAAATGAAGACTAATGCAGCCATCTTTCTTTGCCTTTCAGTCTTGGGATTTCTCCCTTAAGAGGCTGGTATTTCTAATGCCCTGAAGGGGCAATAACAAGATTATCTTATGTAAATAAATTAAAACCCTTAACCCTTTAAATGCCAAAGCAAACACGAGAAATACAATCCATTACATGTGAGTGCTTCGGAAAAATCAATGCATATCCTTAAGTGTAACGGAGAGGTTTCCTGTAGAAAATACATAGCAATTAATTTGCTGCAGAAAGTGTTTTTGTTTTTTTTAACTGCCATTGATATACAAAACACTGTACAATAATTTACTGCAATGCTTTTGTCGTTTACCATTGCTGAACTATCTGCCTGTCATTTATATGTGCAATTAGTGATGCACGGCACATGACATAGCACTGAGAACAAATTGACAGATCTGTGTATCACGTTAGTAATTTACACTGACGGCTGGGTGATCAGCATCATTGTACACGCAAAGAGAAAGCTTCATCATTACAATACTAATGGCTGCTACCACTGGTATCGAGAAATGTATATCACAAACAAATATATAGAACATTCAATTAATACATAGCATTAGCCTGCTTCTTAAAAATCCTTGCATTCACTGAAAAAAAATAAAAAAAAATTAAAAAGACCACAGAAAAAAAATACAAAAAATTCGCCTACACCTCCATCACCATTCCATACTGTCAGATGATAGGATAATGGTACAATACTCCATCACTAATTCCACAGAACCTTTTCCTGACACTGAAAACCACCATACCAAATGGAGATGGGGTTCCCAGTTCACCTTCTATAATATGCATCTGTGACGGTAGTCACCATCACCTGGGGTTTCATAAGGACATTTTATGTAGGACCTTGGGCTATTCCTATGTTTACGTCACCGTGATTGCAGAGTGTGTGTGTGTGTGTGTAACGTGGTTGTTTGGTGTTAAATGGTTAGTGTGTTCTCCTGTCTTGCTAAGGCTTACAATCAATAAGGTAGATTTGGCTCTGGAGCCTCTTCAGCACCACCTACTGGTTGCAATAATCTACCAACCACTGTATGCACTATCTGAAAAGCAAGGATTGTTCATTTGCATTTTTGGGTAGATTTGCATATTGCTAATTCTGCAGGCGGGAGAGAGATGTTCTGTTAATGTCTTCCCCTTCCCTTTATAAATATATTACGCCATTATAATTTCCTGTATATTATGTGGCATGTTTCGGTTATTTGAATTTTATCCTATAGACTGTAAGCTCGTTTGAGCAGGGTCCTCTTCAACCCATCGTTCCTGTAAGTTTTCTTGTAATTGTCCTATTTATAGTTAAATCCCCCCTCTCAATATTGTAAAGCGCTACGGAATCTGTTGGCGCTATATAAATGGCAATAATAAATAATAATAATAATAATAATTAGGTTTGTCACAGCAACGTGTATGTAATAAAAGTATAGGCTAGTCCCAAGTAAAATAAAGTACCGAATGTTAGTTCCTTTTGGAACGGTGTACCGAATGGACTTTTATGGATCCCAGCCACAGAGTCGTTGTAGCTGTTGGCTGGCTGCATGATCCCTCTAGCCTTGGGATGAATTGAGAGAGCTAGGCCTGAGAGCAGCAAGTGCCTTTGCCTGCAATGTGATTTATATTGCCTTTACAGAGGTAGAAACCTGCCTGGAAGAAAGATTGCAGCGGAATAGGCAGAGGGGTCAATACCTGCCTGGAAGAAGGGCTGCAGTGGAATGGGCAGAGGAATGATACCTGCCTGGAAGAAAGGCTTCTGATGGGACGATACCTGCCTGGAAGGAGAGCTGCAGCCTGGTCGGGTGGGAAAGCTCCAGAAGGATCCCAGTCAAGGCTTGGTTTGACTGGGGCAGAAGAGTGGCAGTTTTCCCCGGTTCCAGCTAGGAAACAATCCGGGGCGGAGGTACCCAGCCGGGATACAGGTAGCTCTGCTTCAGCAGCAATGTCCCAAACCAGGAACAAAGAAAGGGCAACTAATCTCATTTAAAATAACCATCTCTTAGGTCCAATTCTAGGAGGAAACTCAACCCCCCATGTCAACAGTCAGAGACAGTATCAGTTTTTCTATCAATAATATTGCCAAGCCCACCTGCAGAAGGGTTTATGAAGAACAGGGCATTCTGACTGCATGGGCTTCTGTCAATCACATCCTTTAGCTAGGATGGAGAAGAGGCATGTCCATGATCCTGGCTTAAAAAAAATAAAAAGCTATAAAATGGATGTGTTTGGTTGGTATATATTTTTATTTACTTAAATAAGCATCTGAGGTGGTTAATCATTTTGTTCTGTTGTACACAAATGCACAACAGATAAACTAGTAAAAAAATAAAATAAAATCACTCTAACCCCTAAATAAGCTCTGGTGGATCTCCATTAATCAGTGATACATGTCTGATGGATGAGCGATCACTCTATTTCTACAACAAGGTCTAGGCCCCGTGCGTTGACAGTATGTCTAATGCTGGAATGGGGTGAGAAAGCAATTTACGTGGGTGTTGATATTTGGGGCTCGTAGTGTTGAAGAGTTTCCCCTTTTCTCACCCTGTTATCTTTTCTCTTAGTTATCTAATCAAAATCACTAGTGATAGATTGTCTATACATTACATTGTGCTTTTTCTACTAATGTATAATGTCACTTTGAAAAATAACATGAAAAAATAAAGTATCTAAACCCAAAACGTCAAGTAGCGTGCGTCCTGAGTTACACTAGATAAGAGTTACACAGTTTTAATTGCAGCATGCATTCACATGTACAAATATAGTTACATATACCTTTATACATACCCTGGTATTCTTCCTGACCCCATACTGGCAAAGTAACAGGTCCTCACATCTACACTACCCCGATAAGATCTATCCCCCATCACTGTCCCATAAACACATTACCAAACTACCTTGATACATACAGTACTCCTGCTGTTAGGTTTTAGTACTTTTAACACTTACAGTGTTATTCGCAAAAAGTGAGAATTAAAAGGGAATTTCATATTTAGGTTAAAGTAGCCAAGCTGCAAAACAATAGTTAAATGTTTACACCAACCACCATGAGCAGTTCAATGATTTGAAGTGGTCATGGTGGTAGAAGTCTGTATGTGCAGTGTTCCAGATGGGTAAAACCTTGTTTCCCTCTAGGTTTTAGTGAAATGGGAGCAGGGAGCCCTTATGCATAGTGCCCAATAGAGTATTTTACACAGAAAAGGTCCCCCAAAGTAACCATTTAAGTTGGCCATGCCTTCGGCTGGCTACTATGGCCTTAAATTTGAAATTCACTTTGAATTCTCAGTTTAGTGAATAACCCTGTTAGTCAAGCAAGGCAGAGGTCTACCTGGGGACACTGTGAGTAGGGGAGCTCTCCAACACTGAAGTATAAAGAGCCCGAGATAAGTAAGGGGTTATGTCAGGAAGTATATAAAGCCAGTTTTCTTGTCATCTCAACCCAGGTCAACACTCTGCGGTAACTCCACCTGGACTCTCACCATCCAATCCCACCCTCACATGGGATTTATATAAAGCATATATTACTGCTGTTCATTAGTTTAACTTTTAAGAAAAAATGTAGCAGGAAGATTTAAACATTAGCCTGGGGGACTTTTTAATTCTGGATTCCAGGTCTGCCCATAGGCATGATCCAAACTGCCCTCTGTAACAATGTTTTATAATGGTGCCTAGCAGTGTTCTGTGTTGATTTACACTGCTGTAATTAGATATCCATTAATAGTCCATTTCAGACACCTCATGGAAACATGTCATACTTTCAGCTAAATAAGAGCTAAGATCAGAGGAGATCAGTTTTACTCTGCAAGTCTCGTTTGAGCTCCTGGAACTCGATAGTAATATTTCATATCATAATAAGATCACCAAAGCATCTAAACACGTCTTTGCTCTTGCTAGAATCCGAGAAATGTTCCCAGCTCTCTGTACAGTATATTGGTCCTATTGATCAGCCCAGCCATATATGCAAACTAAGACGTGATTCAAGTCACATTGAGGCTGTGTTTCATATCTAATTTACCAAGATAAATGGACAGAGATATCTCTTCTTTCCAACTATTCCTGTTAGCCCACCTTGCTAACTGCTGCATATGTAAAGATATGAAGACATGAATTTGTTTAAGCTAAGAAGCAGTCTGATTGATGGGAGGATAATGAGCGGGTAAGGCAATACCATGCTCAAAGTTTATCTAAACTACACAAGTGTCTCCAGCAGTCCACGTTCAAACAATGTTATCGTGAAAGAAAGAGCAGTGATACAAAAATGTTACCAAGTGGAAGGATGTAGGCAAACTATTATATTGAGAAAATTAGATACATCATATATTTAATTATATATTATGGGAAAATAATAAAATCCAGTATTACTGGACACATAATAAACCAAGAACACAAAGGTTTAGAAAAAGTCTCCAGAATCCTGAGATGGTATTATAGTCCCCTAATAAAAAGCTTCAGCGTTCTGCATTTTTAATGTTAAATTATATTTTTGGCTTTGGTTAGTGTTACAGTTGAGGTTAGGACTGCAGGTGGGTTAGGGTTAAGAGTAATCTAAGCTTCAGGGTAGTGTAATAGCTTTGGGTTAAAGCGCATCTGTCACTTCTGGGGGTCTTTGCATATCTAACAAAGACCCCTAAAAGTGATATTTCGGATGGGCCGCTGAGAAAGGTAGTCGTACTTACCGGGAGTCTTCTTAGACAATTGATTTGCCTTTAACTTGAAATTTTCCAAAAGACATGGTAGGCCATATTTTGTATCATGGTATCTTTAGATTTTGTTTCAGTGAAATTCCAAATCAGTCTGGATCAGGACTGATTCACTACTGAAAAGTGACAGAGCTGCTTTATGTGTAGTGTAGGGGTTAAGGGTCAGTGTCAGGGTAGCTGTAGTGTAGTAGTTATGGAGATTTTTTTTTTACAGTTAGGGCAGCAATAGGATACAAATTAGGTAACATGTTGCGAGAACAGTGACTTACCTCCCTAAAACTAAGTTTCCCATCAAAGTCTTCATCCACTTCTTTAATCATTTCCTTGAGGCCAAGATGGGTTTGAGGAGCTCCAAGTTTCTCCATCATTCGTTTAAGCTCCATAAGATCTATGAACCCATCCTTGCCCGCATCATACCTATGCAATAAATACACAAAATAGGTAATATTGAATGATGTACAGGAGGGGAGAAAAAAAAAAATACAAATAAAAAAACATGCAGAAATCCACCTCTGATAAACATGGTCTGGAGTACGGGGTCCTAACCTTTGGGAATAGCTGATACCGTAAAATTCTGAAACACTGAAATAGCCATAAGGCTATCAAACATTAGATATTATTTATAACAATATCAGAGTATTTAACCAGGAAATGTGCATTTAGCTTTCTGCAAGTTTCCAAATACTTAGTGGGGTCTATGGGTTATAACCAAATGATTCATTTATATTTAGACTGGAGTATTCGAAATTTCATATTTAAATTTAGTTTTGTTCACCTTCCTTTTACAGACAGCAGCCCTCCTCCAAGTAAAGGCTCTGGATGACATTATTGATGTACTACAGCATTAAGAATTGTGGCTTTAAGGCAGTGGTTTTGTTTGTCTAGCTGTAGCATTACAACTGCTGGGACTATATTATCATAATTCTCCGTTCTACCTAGCTCAAGTGGTTATGGTGGTTGAAGTGCTCATTTAAAGTTCGACACAATTATCATAAATTTGAAAATTTTCAATTACATTTACGTTTAAATATATTTTAAAAGCATGTCATTGGAAAGCGCCTGAATTTTTATTTATATATATATATATATATATATATATATATATATATATATATATATATATATATATATATATATATATATATATATATATATATATATATCAAATAAAGTAGCAGGGCACGCCTCCTTTACAAAATAATAAAAGTAAAAATAGATGCCTAGGTGAGCTTGATAAAGACTCCAGGAGGGTCGAAACGTCGATTTTTTGTTATTCACAGCTCATGTATTTTTGATAATACATTAAATAACTTTGTTTCACTGAATTGAAGACCTAGTGTGCTCCATTAATAGTTATTATATAATTTTTTTTAAAACCTGCACATTTACTGGTTTCAGAGAAACAAATTGCTCTGCTTGCCAATCTGGAAAATAGTAGCAAACAACAACATTTACTATGCAAGTAGGTCTTTCTATGAAATATTTCATATTCTCCTACCCCCACCCCACCCTGTGCAAATAAGTCTATTGTATTTGCTTCCTCCAAACAAAGACCCCTTCATTACATTGGAACAAAACATGAATGAACAAGGGGCCGATGCGCTTTCATGCTATTTTTAATAGCCCCATCCCCCAGCACTGGCATTAAACCCTCTAAACCGCTAACCAATGTCACTTCTTTCATGTATTTAGATTGTTCTGCATTAGAAATGCTCATCAAAATCAGTTTACTGTTTGCAACTGGCCTGAACATGAAACCCGCTGTAATTACAATGTTCAGCTATTTAATTTTAATTGTGAAGCAGCTACAATTGCCTTGAAAGCAGAGACTCCACTTCATCTATATTGGAAAATAGCTTTCAAAGTCCTCCTTCCCTAAGGCTGGAGTCTCCAGTGACATTGACATAATGATGGTTATGGGGCGCTCTCTGGGGACGTAAATTCTCAGTCTGTCAATATACTAAATATTGTATTTTTGCTATTCCATAGAGATCGGATGTACTATAGTTGGAGGGTTGGTGTGGATTACATAATTACAAAGTGAGGACGAATCAAAGTTTCATTTCTCATGTGCCAGTCAGGTGTAACATTTTCTGAGATACCAACATGCATATTACACTCATTGTGTTCTACAAGGAAGTTCCAAGATTTGGGATTTACTAGATTGAAGGTGAATGAGCGGAATCAGCCATATTTTATTAGGCATATTCTGCAGCAGAGTACAAAGGACATATGAAGATCAAACATATAATTTATGTATTTCAATACAATTATTTTTTTTCTACATATTTAATATATAATTTATACCGTTGCACAGTATGTAAAGCGATACACGGGTAATTGATGGTAAATATGTTTAGACATATTGGGAAAAATAATGTCGAATAGTATATATGAAATATAATATCACATGTATTCATTAAAACACAGAACAAAGTAGTAACGGGAACTTACAATCATGGAGACAATTTTTTTTACCAAAATTGTCATATCTCATCCCTTCTTTAAATGAATCTTTAGATTTACATTTTACTAAATATCACTAAAGTAAATCATACACCACATGTTGGGACTACTATATAAAAGGGTTCAATGATTTGAAGTTTTTGTGGTGGCAGAAGTCATTTTTATGTGATTAAAGGGACTCTCCAGGCAAACAATTTTACTCACCTGGTTCCAGCGCCGGGAGCCTTGTGAAGCCGCGCCCCCTATTTCGTCAAAATGAGGAAATAGGCGGGCGCAAGCAATCAGACGCTTCCATTTGGAAGAGTCATTGCTCCCTTGTGTGGATGCGCTGCTTCGCCACACATACTCGCGGTCTTTGCCCGCCCCCTCTCCTCTGCTGACAGGCAGAAGAGAGAAGGCGCGCACACAGTGCCTTCTCTCTCCTGCATTAAAATACGTCTGACGTGTACAAGGCCTTTTTAGGGCCCTGCATGATAGGAAGTCCCTCTGGTGGCCGTCTGAGTGACGGCCACTGGAGGTATTCCTATCAATGTAAACACTATATTTTCTCTGAAAATACAGTGTTTACATTAGATTGCCTGCAGGGAGCTATGGATCATACCTGAACAACTGCATTAAGCTGTAGTTGTTCAGTTGACTATAGTGTCCCTTAAATCTTCTCCCTTCCAAGAAAAGCGTGTGTAAAGAGAAGATGACAATACCCTCCCCTTCCACGCACATTTCACTCCCTCCGCAAACAAGCCCATCCGGAGTGCGTGCACTCACTCTGTGCTGTCAAAACAGACCAATCATAGGCTTTTCTATGAAAGCCTGTGAATGGTCCATGCACATCTTCTGTAACGGAAGGTGGAGCATATGTCAGTATTGGGAGGTTTGCCCAGTGCTGGATTTCAGATGAGTAAAACTTTTTTTTTTTTTTTACAAGATTGAGACCTCGAGAGATCCTTCCCCATAATGCCCACTGTGGCATTTTAAACCAAAAGCTCCCCTCCACAAGGGTTGGAATAACCTTTCATAGGAACCCTCTGGCCCCATAGCATCATTATCGCCTTCTGCTAGGAACCTAACGTTAATTTAATTTTTGGTTTCAATGCAGTCCAGGATGAACAAAATAGACAGTGATAATAGTGTTAATTATGGATCATTACTGCAAAGAGCAGCTGCGGTAAATCATTCTTAAATGATTTGATGTCAAATCAAGCTATACTCTACAACGATCATGGGTGGCCAAAAGGTAGTTCCCCAGATGTTGTTGAGCTACAACTTCCATGATGCTTTGCATGCCTTTAAAATGACAAAGCATCATGGAAGCTGTAGTTTTAAAACATGTGGGGATTTACGTTATGGGCACCCCTGGTCTAGATCCTAGTTTTTAGTTTCTTAATCCATGCTATGCATACATGCACACCAAAGGCAAGAGGTACACTAAGAGGCGGCCTGTTAGGGGAGAATGGAGGCAGAGGTGGCAAAGGAGTTGTAATCTTCATTATCTTCCAGCACTGCTCCCACGCATAGCTTGCTGTGATGCTGAGTTATGATGTCAGTCTGGCCCCGGAATCACTAAACAACATGTGAGGTAGCACACATTTTTCACAAGTCCCACATTTGACCCAGGGAAAGGATCGACTCCAGCTCTCCCGAACAAATGGTAGAAAGGCTGTGTAAGTGAGTGCGTGTGAAAAAAATGTGTGTTTATGTAGGGCGTGGAGATGATGTACGTCAGTGCTGCACACTGTGCATCACTGACCCAGGAAGCACCACTAATGACTGTCTGAATGACTGACACTCGAGGTGTTACCATTCCCCACCAATGTAAACACTGCCTTTTCTTTGAAATAAAAAAAATAAAAACAAAACAGGAATGATAATATATTGCTAAATGGACACCTCATACAATAGTCTACCTAAAGAATAACAAAACAAAAACAAAAAATAAATAATGGAAATACTCTTAACTATCCTCAACTTTATGCAAAAACAAATCCTGGATATCGTTAATTTAGGACATGCTACCTGAGTCATAATTTTGCTTTTAAAAGGCAGATGTTCACATCGAAAGGAGAATCATTTGCGAGAACATAATTAACTAAACACCACTGAATGAAATACAAGTTTTGAAGCGCAGCATGTAGCTGTGCTCTCAGGACTGAGCTGGAAAGCCTACGGAAGGCGCCATTTTGAAAGAAAACTGATGGTTTCTGTCTGCAGTTGAAGAATGGGAAGCGTGTTTTCATCTTGCTGTGCCTGATTTACTTCTTGCTACCATAACGGTCAGTTAAATTGTATGATCACTTATTGCAGCCTATTAATTGTCAAAGTGTTTCACCTTTTGCATTTAGGTTACAAGACCTAAAGGTCAGCTTCCATTTTGAAGACTAAGAAATCAATGCATTCTTGCATCTCAAAATACATCTGATAGGTTAGCTTGGAGTGACAGAATCCTGGTATGTTACATACAAGTTCACTGATGCATATAGCAGCCCTGTGAAATGTATTTTGAATAGGCTTAAATCTGTTGATCATTTCTCTTACAGCAGCTTCTCTCGTATTCACAGACTGTTTCCATCACACAGAGTTGTACCATGTGTATTATACGGTCTGGTGCAATAATTTGCTTACATGGAATCTGAAATGTCAATGTACATGCAAAAATAACAATTTAATAGGCAGATTTTAATTTGGATTTTTTTATTTTATTTATTTTTTTTTTTAATTACCAAAAAGGTATCTCTCTTTTTTTTAAAACTGTGCAGGATGTTTTTCAACACCTGACACAAATATATATAGTCTTGATCTTATAATTTATGGCTATCACGGTTGCAGAAATTGCAAAAAAAATATAAAAAAATACAAGCTACATTTTAATAGCACAGATGCAATCCACCGTAAATACATTTTAAACCATCTATTTTTTCAATGAATTTCATTTAATGCCATTATCTACAGTGGTACATTAACGATAAAAAAAAATAAAAAAAATAAAAATAAGCATTATAAGGTTTATTATGTATAACCTGTTGCTGGTTGTTGACACTCAATTTGACGTACAGTTACAAGAAATAAAAATGGTGTTCTGGGCTGTTATTAAATGGTGGAGATGCTACATATATTGTAACATTGCTAATAAGCAACAGGCATAAATCTGTCAGAACACAATCTTTTTTCCAATACAAACAATAGCTTAATATTTTCAACTGATCCTAGGTGAAAGTTACTATGGCCATTAAAAATATGACCTTAAAATTTAATTAACAGAAAATCCTGCTATGGGGAAAAATTTCAAATTTCCTTTTTCGCTGGCAAAAACTGGTTTTACGTGCTGCATTTGCTGCAGTCCAACATCTTGACATCAACAAGCGAAACGACAATGAAATTGATGACAATATGTGTTGTGCACACATCCAGATGTGCATCATCTGTGTGTTTATACAGATAAAATATTCTCTGGCAGTAAAGAAAATCACAATTAAATCCCCTCACTGAACACACAGAGCTAGAACTATATTGGTTGTTGTTTTTGGTGTGATGAGGGGGGCTCAGATACCTTATTTTTGTGGAGAGATGTTATTTAGACTATGCTAAGTCTGGGGGTAGGGAAATGGTGTTATGGCATTCAATAGTTGTCTATTACCCACATTCTAGAATGTATTTAAATAGTTCAGGACAGCTTAAGATGTCACTAGTCTGCCATTGACCATCAATTCTCTGTATCCTGTATCTCTTGGGAAGCAGAGCTGTCCATCACTGTCCCTTCTTAAATCTAGTGGTCCATGAGCTAAGAGGTTCTGCAGAAACCTAGGCATTGTATAATTAAATGCATTGGGGACAGCTGCTGACCTCAATACCTCACTATGTTCTGACCCCTTGCACCACCCCAGACACACAAGGGGCTATGGCCCCAGCCTGGCACTCCTGGCTGTGAGTACTGGGAGTTACTGCAGTTCAGACCCTTTCAGCCTCCTAGGCACAGCCAATGCCCCAGTCTGACACTCCTGGCTGAGATTACTGGGAGTTGCTGCAGTTCATACCCCTTCCACCCAGCTGACACAGTTGGGGCCCCAGCCTGGCGGTGCTGGCTGAGAGTAGTGGGAGTTGCTGCAGTTCAGACCCCTTCCACCCAGCAGACACAGTTGGGGCCCCAGCCTGGCGGTGCTGGCTGAGAGTAGTGGGAGTTGCAGCAGCCCCCAGCAGGTGGAGTGGCAGGGCTTTGTGGCCAGGCAGGGATGATGGGATGAAGGGGGTGGCACTCACTGTTTGAACATGCACTCCATGTCCTTGATCTGCTTCCTGGTGAACTCCTTGAACTCGGTGTAGGGGTTGAAGACCCTCATGCAGGGCTGCCTCCTCTCGCCGTCGCTGTGCTGGTCGGAGTCCGAGTCCCCGCCTGCCTCCCCGCCGGCCCCCAGCCTCAGCCGCCTGTTCAGCCTGGAAGCCAGCTCGTCCGCCGCCATGGCCGGTGCGATGCTCACTGAACGGAGCCGGCTCCAAGCTCAGCAAGCCAGCCCGGCGGAGGGTCATGTGACCCCAGAGAACGCCGGCACGGACCGCCATGTAAGGAGCGCGCTGATTGGCTGCCGGCGGAGAGGGGGCGGGGCTTGGTCGGTGTGGTCCAGCAGGATGGGAGAGGAAGGATGCTGCAAGCATGGAGCATGGATGGCATTGGAATAATAATAATAATAATATAATAATAATATAATAATCACACACTGCATGTCTGGCATTGGAATAATAATAATAATAATATATAATAATAATATATTACATATATCACACACACACACACAGCATGGATGGCATTGGAATAATAAAATAATAATAATATATAATAATAATATATTACATATATCACACACACACACAGCATGGCTGGCATTGGAATAATAATAATAATATAATAATATTAATCACACACTGAATGGCTGGCATTGGAATAATAAAATAATAATAATATATAATAATAATATATTACATACACACACAGCATGGCTGGCATTGGAATAATATAATAATAATAATAATAATATTAATCACACACTGCATGGCTGGCATTGGAATAATAATAATAAAATAATAATAATAATATAATAATAATAAATAATATATAACATATCACACACTGCATGGCTGGCATTGGAATAATAATAATATAATAATATTAATCACACAATGCATGGCTGGCATTGGAATAATAATAATAATAATATTAATCACACAATGCATGGCTGGCATTGGAATAATAAAATAATATAATAAAATAATCATAATAATATAATATTAATCACAGAAAGAGAAGAAGAAAACCGTCTACAGGCAATGGTAGGTTAAACCACTCAACCTGTAGAGGGTCACACCTTATAAGACACTCCAGTTGTGTCTTGGGGCATAACCCCTAATAAGAAAGACTATAAGATACTCAAAATAGCAAGTACATGAGTATCCACTGGAATAATGAATAATGATAATGCTATCAAAAATAATGAATAGAGATATATACAGTGAGGAAATACAATAAAGGATACTATAGATTGGTCAGGTGGAAGTATAAAATAACTGCCAAAATGGCAAAAAACTCCCTTCCTAATGTCTCTAACAGTAGTTACTGAGGTACACAGGTTTAGACTTTAATATATAATCCCTAATAGGTTAATATCCGTGACTGCAGATTAATATTAATAAAATTGAAAAATATGAGACATAAAGGACTTTGCTTATACCTAATTAGTGACAGAGTGCCCTATAAGTGAGAGAGTGGGGGGGGAAATAGAGAGACCCCCCCCCCCCCAAAACAAAAACCTGACACGCGTTTCGGTGCGCTTGTAATGCACCTTCTCCCCTGACGAAGGTGCATTACAAGCGCACCGAAACACGCGTCGGGTTTTTGTTTTGGGGGGGTCTCTCTCTTTTTCCCCCCACTCTGTCACAATGTGCAGGTAGCCAACATCCTAAGTATGGCTCTGCACATTTAGCACATGTTTTTTCACTATTCACCTAATCTCTCCCTTTTTTTTGCTTTATACCTTCTAATATGTGGCATAGACAATTATAGTTACATTTTTGGATACATTGTATTTAATTTATCACTCCGCATGTATCCTATATGTGGTAGTCATTATTATAGATACATACTAACTATCTTGCATTTATCTTGTAGGTAGCAGTCATCATTATAGACACATTTTTGTGATACTATTTATCTATTGAACTTTTCTCAATCTATCTAACTTATTGTGTCTATTAACCCTCTTTTTCTGCCCATTGATTTTTTTAGTGTCCAATATCCTTGAAATCTAGTATCACATTTCATAGAATGCTACTCTTTTGAGTCTAATTAGGTATAAGCAAAGTCCTTTATCTCTCATATTTTTCAATTTTATTAATATTAATCTGCAGTCACGGATATTGACCTATTAGGGATTATATATTAAAGTCAATAGTTATAAGGTATAATCCCCACCTATGGATTCTTTAGGTTCCTTGTGGATGTAGATCAGGTGCACGAATAAGAATAAAATTATAATAAATAATAAATATTAAATAGACAATATAAAAAGAATATATAAGGGAAAAATGGCAATAAAATATTCTATGCCAAATAAAATTCTTTATTATAAAGTAATTAAAATAATATCTAGAGGGGGCGTGTCCTGACCGCGGATGTGAGCGGACGTGTGAGACCGGAGCTCCTCCGACATCTCGGCTAACACAGCGTGGTTTAAGCAGCAAACTGCCGGCTAAAGCCAGCAACATCAAGGGGAATTACCCTCTCACTAAAGGGCGGCGAAACCGCAACGAAAAATGAAGCAGAAAACAATGCATGCTCATCTGGAGAGGCACCACAGCACAGAGCATGGCGAACAAGATGGCGCCGATAGGCCCAACTCCCCAACATGTGACCCTGAAGCAGGGGATCACAGACATAGCCAAGACAGCCCAGCCACAAACTCTTCCATCAGATCAATCATGCTGGAGCTTAAATCCTCATTTAAAGCAGACTTGCAGAAAATAGCATCAGACATCAGATCAGACATAAACAGCATTGGGGAACGCACAGCGCGCCTGGAAGAGCGCACAGAGGAATTGATTGATGCACACAACTCCATGGCAGAGGCACATGCATCCCTATTACAGAAGCTCAAAATACTGGAAGGGAAGGTAGCAGACCAGGAGGATAGAAGCAGGAGGAACAATATCCGCATAAGAGGTATCCCAGAATCTGTCACACAGACAAGATTAACCCAATATGTGCAGGACTTATTCAAAATGCTTATCCCCTCCCTGGCTGATGCGGAGTTAATCCTAGATAGGACACACCGACTCCCTAAACCCAGACACCTACCACCTGACATGCCAAGGGACACCATTACGAGGGTCCACTACTACCTAATCAAAGACCGCATCATGCAAACAGCCAGAACGGCAGGCCGCTGGCCGGAACCATACACAGACATCAAGCTCTTCACAGACCTCTCATCAACAACCATGCTTGCATGACGCACGTTCGCGCCCATCACCGCAGCACTAAGAGCAGCAAATGTACCCTACAAATGGGGCTTCCCTACGAAGCTACTGATCAAGCGGAATGGCGTGGACAAACCAATCCTCAGCCCAGAAGAAGGAAAGAGGATCCTCCAGGAATGGGACATTCCGCTACACGACAACGACCCCAAGGGACCACATTTGAACACGGTACCAAAACCCCTCGCAAAAGATTGGAACCGAACAACGAAAACCCCGCGCACATCCGCCGACCGCAGAACCTCTCCTCCATGAAGGAAGCTCCTGATTAAACCTATGTCGGTGAAAACCGAATGGACTAGACGTACAGGTTCTATAATTTTTCTTTAACTTGTTTCCCCTTGTAATCTGCTCTAATATTACCAGTTAAATGTTTTTAGCCCAAGCCGTGACAGGGAGGAGGAACTCCCAAACCCGCCTTACCTACACCCAAGCACTGCCACAACCACGAGCATTGTGGTTAGTGCCAACCGGCTCCACGTGGGCCACCCCCAAGGCTCTTAAGGCCTCCTGAGAGCCATACTTGTCCGTTGCTTGATGCGACCTAATGTCCCCATATGGCGACATACGGAACTTTGTATATAGTTATTACCCTGTTGTTTCCCCTCTTCCCCATGCCAGCATACCCGTAAAGGCGTTCTACCTATCTTGCAAGACAACTCTGAATCCTTTATATTCATGTGCGCAGCGACCCAAACGTATAGGTCATGGTAATTAAAATTATGTCCCTAAACGCAAAAGGGCTTAACTCCCCGCACAAGCGCAGGCTGGCTATACAAGAGGCAAGGAAAAGTGGCGCTCTAGCGGCGTTCTTTCAGGAGACGCATTTCAGGTGGAAAGATAGACCAAAATTCACCTCTAAATGGTTTCCCCATGACTTCCACACCTGTTTCACGGCCAAGCAAAGAGGTGTTTCCATTCTAGTTAGTAAGGATGTAGTATTCTCCCTGGTTCGCAAAATAACTGATAGAAAAGGGCGCTACCTGATTTTGCAATGCCTTCTTAACAATAACCCATATACGCTAGTCAATATTTACAGTCCTAATGAAAACCAACACGAATTCCTAACCTCGACTCTGGCCACACTTGATATGTACAAATATGGGGAGGTAATCATTGGAGGCGACACAAACTTCTTACTAGATAGTGAGTCTGACTCATCCACCGCTGCAGGGCTCTCTAAAAACACCCTGAGGAGACGAGCGGCTCTAACAGCCAAAGTATGCGCCACACTAGCCTCTCACCACTTAGTAGACCCATGGCGCATCCTCCACCCCACAGAAGTTGACTATACATGCCATACACTGGCACACAACAGTTACTCCCGCATAGACCGCTTTCTCATCCCCGCATCCTCCATAACTAATATAGAGGAAGCTAATATTGGAACAATATCATGGTCAGACCATGCACCCGTCACCCTAAGCATCAAGGAAACATTCCCCAATAAAGGGACAGGCACCTGGAGGCTGAATGAGTCTCTTCTGGTGGACCCCTATGTAGTGACGCAGGTTACCTCAGACCTACAGAACTACTTCGCCGAAAACACGGCGCAAGACTCACCGATAGAACAAATCTGGCTAGCGCACAAGGCGGTCATACGAGGCAGCCTTATAAAACACGCCAGTAGAGCCAAGAAAATAAGGCTCGCAACCTATAACTCCCTGGTAACAGAAATAGCCACACTAACACACTCCAACAAAAGAGACCCAAATAGGGCCACTTGCAAAAAATTGATAGACCTCCAAAATCAATTAAGAAACATAGAACTAGCTAAAACAACATATATTTTACGCAAAGCTAAACATAACTTTTTTGCCAACGGAAATAGAGCGGGCGCCAAACTAGCGTCACAACTAAAGGAGAGATGTGTGGCCTCCAGGATTGCCTTCCTAGTAGACAATAAGGGAGCGAAGACTTTGAACCCACAATGCATTGTAGACCAATTTGCGAAATATTACAGTGAATTGTATAACCTTAAAACTGACCCCAACATGTTCTTACCTACACATGACGACATTGACGGGTTCTTGACGGGACTTGA